GTATTGTTCGGCTATTTCTACTGAGTCCAAGCATACTGCCCTACGGGACAATGGCCTTGTGGATTTAAGAGTGGGTTCGCGTATTTGGTGATATAGTGATTGTGAATTCAATCATTGGGTTGAACAGTGTGCACTTGGACTCAGAAGAAACGGACGTGCAATAAATGTTCAGTACTAAAATTAAGAGCTAGACGAGATATCCCTGGACATTGGCAATGGAACGACACTAGTATACTCCAGTCCCTGTAGATTAAAAAAAGGGTTCATTTAAGAATTCCCTGTCGGTTATCTAGATCGATATACACCTGAGGAAGGCCGGAGAGTACAACATCCGAAATTTTGTGATAACAACAACAAAGATGAAGACAATAGTCCGAATATAAATAGTGTAAATAATTAAAATTCCTCATCCCAGAAATTCAAGCAGAAATAATATCAATTTATTGTGAACGGAATAGACCTTGAAGTTTACGCGTGTTCAAGTTCTTTTTCCAAAGTAAATGTAAATCCTCTTTTCTGATTCCATATTCTTATAGATTAGGTTCAGTCATAAATGCTATTTTTCAACAAACTAAAGTAAAATTAGACTGTATTCAATTATATATTTATAATTATTTGCAAATGTCGTTTACGTTCATTAGGAAGATCTTTGATAAATTTGGAGTAGAATTGCGCAGGTTTTTGAGGTTAAAAATGTCACAAAAAATAAATAAATAAATAAATAAAAAAACTTGATTGTTTTTTCTTTATTAGAGAAAGTGTTCTCCATGAAGGCTTTTTGCAACGATCAAAAAATATAGCATTCGCTTGGTGCAACGTCAAGTGAATATAATGGTTGGGTGTAGAACAGACCAACTCAGTTCCAATCTCTTTTTGTTGTTGTTATTATTCTTGCTGTCAGTAGATTTAAATTGCCATGGAGGAGAACACTGCTTTTCTTTAATACACGGTGTACGCTGCCACTGCTGCACAAAAAGCTGTTTAAGTGAGCTCTAGATTTATTCTTAACTCCAACAGTAGTTGTGATGATACATTTGTCATTACAATTGGTTTTCCAAGAAACGGAATTACTTACGGCCAAATCTATTAGCTTTTTTAACTAATCAAGGAAAATTAATTAAAAGTATCTAAGTCCTCAAAAACAACAACAAAAAAAAAACAACTAAAGATTTACAGGATGTTTTAGCACGCCAAGCCGCTACCAAATGTGACACAAGGTCGTGGTTTAAGCGGGTTTAACAGCAATACCTTGAAAAAATTACCCAAGCTACCTCGGTACTTGTCCTTCTGTACACACCTCAGGTGCCGGACAATACCCCCCACCATCTTGAAGGAGAAGTATTTACTGGGGAAAGCCCCCGACCCCGCATGAACTTGGACTTAATACAACTAAAGAAAAATTACCCAAGCCACCTCGGTTCTTACCCTTCTGTAGACGCCTCTGCTCATGGGCAATAAACCCAGTTCCCTCCCGAAAGAGAGGTACTTCCTGGGGGGGGGAATCCCCCTGTGGTTTGGGCTTAATACAACTAACGATATACAGACTGACTGTAATGCCGACAACATGTTTTTGACAATCAATATTCTATTACATAGAATAATCATGTGTGTTTTTCGGTAATAACTTTATTCGATACATCAACACATAAAGATTTTCTATATAAAGGGCGTGTCAAAATAAGGTAAATATTCCAGAACACATTATATATTTTCTTATTGCAACAGAAATCCATTATAACTAATGTGTAGAATGAGATAGAGCGTTGCAAAGACAAAAGTAATGCTAAATTATGGTATGACTATAAATTACTGGGTATGACGATGAATTAAATCCTGCAGTAAGACTTCTGTTCTGGAGATTAGAGGAATTGTAACGCATGGAATCACGTCTTAATTGCTGTTCTTACCAGGTCCACCCTGTTAGGGTCCCAGCTATCAGCAAATAGTTGAATACCAAATACAAACAAAAGACTATGAATACATTTTTATAGTAAAAAATACCACGAATGCATTTTCATATAAAAATGGAAACCGCGAAAAACCATTAATGGTCTTGATGGAACATTTCATTACGGTCGACCTTTAAAAACACTTTTCGTATCATTTAACTTCATAATATAGTATCACGGATATAGTGACATTTTGATCATAACCCAGAAACATCGGGAAAACAACGAGAAAACTCTAGTCCTGGGTATGATGATAAACTACATCTGGCAGCAAGTTCTCTGATCGGGAGATTAGAGTTTTGAGGAGCGTGGAACTGCCTCATAATTGCTGCTGTCCCCACCCGTTCCTGTTAGGCTCCCAGCTATGGAAAATAGTGAACACTGTTTTAGCCTAGAATGAAGAATAACCAAAACGGAAGTTGGAAACAAACACCCAAACAAAAATCAACAGTATATATATATATATATATATATATATATATAATAAAATGACCAACAATATATTTTTATAGCAAAATGACAATCCTTGCAACACTAAAATATAAAAAAATACATTTTTATTGTAAAATTACCAACACTACATTTTATGACCTAAAAAACATATATCTAAGCTTTACTCTGAAAATATAAAATAATGTACAAAATATATATAGTTGAAGTCATAATTTTTTTTTTTTAAATATTAGATTTCGTCATGAAGTAACGCATAGTGGTTGATCAATAAACAAAATACAATACTCGCTTGCGTCATCAAATAGGTAAACCACTGCAAGTGGTGGACTACCTAGACACCATATTAACCCCACCCACAATAGTGTCCAACGTATTTATGAGGAGTGGGACATCCCCATTCGTGTTCATATGCACGGTATATATCAAACAACTAAACAAAATAAACAGTATATTTTTATAATAAAATGAGCAAGGATATATTTTATAGCAAAATTACAATGCAACACTAAAATATAAAAATACAATTTTATAGTAAAATTACCAACAATACATTTTATGATCTACAAAATATATGTGTAAACATAGCTTTACTCTGAAAATATAAAATAATGTACAAAATATATATAATTGAAGTCATAAAATTGTTTTAAAATATTAAATTTCGGCATAAAATAACCTAAGAGGTTGATCAATGAAACAACCATCATGAAATGATTATTTCATGACATTATTCCATATAATATCCTACAATTTCTTAAATCAAAAGATATTCTAAAATACGACTTCAACAAAACTACAATATAAAACGCACACCTATCACCGCGTCTAGTAATCATGTCCGCACAAACATGTATATGTGCATATCTCAGTATCATCTACCATGTATTCAGTTGTGAAAGCAGAAGAACGTATATAATATTTTTATTACTTCAAGTCTCCCAAGAAAATTTCAAGGATTAAATGGCAGATAATGAGTTGATATGCCGTTAACAAACAAATCAATCTATCAATATGTGGCTTCCGGTCATTCAGCACCATATAGGAACATATATATTATATAGCAGTTCTACACTTTTTATTTGTCTCTGGCGAAATTTTTCTATATCTTGGCATCTCTATTCCTCTGCGCCTTTTCTATTTCTGCATTCCATCTTTCTGCGTTTGTTACTATAATACACAATTAGTTAAGTTGTTATCTTGATTTTGACCGTCCACAATACGTAGCCGAGACCTTGGTCTGATTCTTTTTGCAGATGATCCCGAGTAGGATCAATAATATTGAATCAATTGCAAAATGCAGTGACATAGAGGCGGGAGAACTGGTGTTGTGGTCTTCATTAAGTACATTCTTCAACATTGGGACATTTAGTTAACTTGTACAATCAAAGTCGAATCTCCATTTACATTTTTCGCTATTTTCTCTTTATTTATCCTATTACCACTTAAGCTTTTTCAGGATTCAATATTTTAAACGATCAATCTTCCAGCGGTTTGCGATAATGTGCTTAAGTCTACTCTTATTAACTGATATTGGTATATGGAAAGCTAAAACGAAATAAGAACTTATAATTTCTTTACAGATACTGAAAGATCCAGAGATATTTAATCTGTTTCACGTCACAAGTTATAATGGTAATATTAGCAGTTTCCTTATGAATAATCATTTTTCATTAAATGACTGGGAAACCAGGAAAATGAGTTTCTTAAATTCAGTAGCTGTTATCGGTTTTTCCAACATTGATGGACTTTTCCTTACTAACCTTTTGTTTGAAATAGTGTGGAACGTTAGCATATTGATTATGTCATTATTATCTCTTAGAGTTACATGTAATATCCATTTTAGTTGTTACTGCTGTTGAAACTCCTCAAGTTATACGCTTTTTTATTATTTGATACAGTTCTTTTTTTTTGTTTCTACAGCGCCAGTACACAAGATCCGAAGAAAAAAAACGTTTGTGACCACTGATCTGAGAAGGCGATTGTATACAGCAGACGATTTAGACCGTTCTAGACGAGTTTGGTGCCATGCATGACATCCACAAGAACGTATCGCTCTGATGAAACTATTTAAGAACATCGTGTTTTCAGGTTAATGTTTTGGTTTTTTAGCATTTGGGAGAGACTACATCTGCTGCATCGTATTCTATGTAAAATTTTCTTTTCTCTTCTAATAAATAAGTTAGAACTGATACCAAATATATGTAAGTATCATATATAGTTGTACTTTCATCGGAAGGCAAAATATGTATACATACGGGTATGTTTCGCAACAAGGTACTAATGTTTCACAGATGGAAACTGATCAGTTTCGGTGTTGCTTAACGTTGGTGAAACTATAAGTTACAAATAAGAACCTTTTCTTACTGCATGTTTATATATTTAATCATTGATAATCTAAAGTTTGGTGAAAATTAAAAAAAAACAAAAACAAAACAGACGAATTATTATATTGATGGTGGACTCCGAAGGAAAGCCGCTAGAGTACTTAGACAGGATTACAAAGGAAAGCGTGATGAAAGGACTTGCCATTAACTGTAAGAAGGCATCAAAATGTATGTGATTCGACTTGAATCCTCACAGGGTATAAAGGTTAATTTTATGTTAGACAAACCGGCAAGAACTGAAAGACTGACAGCAGGCAGTGAACGAGAATGCTCACAAGGAGCGAACGAAGGGTTTCTGGATGTTTGCGATTCCATTTCTTTCCGTTATAAATATTTTCTGGACAATGAAGTCCACAGGTTTGAGTGTGCCGGAGTATATGTTCTATATCAGCCTGCGTCTGAAAAATGGATTAGAAAGCTAATCGAGGAGACGAGAATACTCGAAAGCGAATAACCAGCCACCGCTGCCTATTTTCTTGCCATGGGTAAATTTTCTTGGTATTATATTTTTAATTTCGCGTAGTTTGGTTTTGAATTTGTCGACTGTAGTATGGCCAGTTAGGATTCGTCTATAAGAAAAAGAGCACCATGACTATTCACTCTGCCAGAAATTTGGAAACGGCAGTCTATGCTGTTTGGCATTCGCGTCGGAAGCTCCGGTACGAACATTTTAGAATGTTTGGGTATAAACTTGAAGACCGTGCAGAGGATTATGAAAGAGTTGGGTATGTCTAATGGTGATTACGAAGGCACGTCAGCTCGAAAAACTAACTCTGATCGTTCTGCTAAGGAATGGACTCCCGACGTTGTTGCTGGTGACCTCAGACTCGACACAGTGGCCTACATTAAGGGTCTTGAGGAGGTAATGCAGCCCTTGGTCAAGAGGGTGGCTGCTGGACGACCCTATTCCGGCAACAGGATTCTGCACTATGACCCACAAGCAGTAGGACCCAGACATGGCTTTTAGACAATTTCTGCAACAACATTACACCTTAATTCTGGCTACCTAATCCCAAAGACTTCAAACTCTTTCATTATTATGTGTGGGGCACAGTTGAGCGAGAGACCAACAAAATTCCTTGTAAGACCAAAGATGATCTGAAGGAAAGGTTTATGGCATTATTCAACAACCTAAGCAAGGAAACCGACCAGAAAAGTTGCAGGAGATTCCGAAGTCGTCTGGAAGCCGTGGTTGAAGCAAAATGCGATTGTATTAAATAAATCCTCTCTTTAGTATTTCAAGATATTCTTGAATAATTTTGGTAAAATTAGATGTCTATTATTTTCATTTTTTCGCAATTTAGACGACAATTTATCCATCGCACGCTGTATCTATACTTAGCTGAGTTTTAGCGATTGATTGATTAGTGTGTTTGCTTATCGGCTTATCAACTCTTTTGTGGGTCATTTTAATGCCGAAATTTATTTTTCTTGAGAGCTTTGAAGAAATTTCATAATTTTACTATAAATATGCTTTGTTGATAATTTTTAAAAATAAAAATATATTGCGAGTATTTCTCATATAATAATGTATTTTTATACTTTCCTAGTGTTTTGCGTTTGTTTGAGGGTGCCCTGTTTGCCAATAACTGGGACCCTAACAGGTGCTACTACCCCAGATCAGTGTGGAGCTGGGAACAACAGCAATTAATAGGTGCTTCCACTCTCCTCAAAACCTTCGATCTCCTGATCAGAGGCCTTGATGCCGGATGAGGAGAGTTTTCTCGATGTTTCTGGGTTATGATCAAACTATCACTATATCTGTAAGCTATTTACAATACTGTTTTATGATGTTAAATAAAACAAAAACAGTATCTACGTTATTTACATTATTCGGACTGTTATCCGCCTCTTCATTGTCATATTCACAACATTTCGGCCGTTGTACGCTCCAGCCTAATCAGGTGATTGGAATTTCGAACCGAAACTTTTATCTCGTTAACCGGAGTAGATTGTTCTAGTTCCACGTGCCATGCCCTTCCGGATTTCTTAGTTATTTCCCTTTAACTCAACTCCCAAAGTCTTTGGTTCATCACTAATGTAGCCCGATATTGAACTGACAAATATTTGGGTCTATCCACTGGATCTAACCAACGCCTTTATCCATTACCCCGGTGGACGAAAATATGGGCTCGGTTCGACATTACATTTACCTGAGGAAGGCCGGTCGAAACTTTGTGAATGTGGCAATGAAAATTATGATAACAGTTCGAAAACTGTAAATAATTTAAATAATCATGTCATCTCAGAGATATAGAAAGACGAAAAGGGGTTTTTAAATCTTAGTTATTCTAATATTATTTCCCTTCAAAACGTAAACGTTCATGGATATCCACAGCTTCCTTTTTAAATATCTGTGAAATGGCTTGAAAATATTGAGAAATATAGCTGAGTGGTTTCCTGTTGACTTCTCCAATTTTCTTAATTAAGATATGTCTCTCTCTGAGACTAGTGGACACGCAAGAATCTACTCTGCTATACAACTCAAAGCTGGGCTCAAGGTGGGTGGGGAACATGGATTTAATTCTTTTTAGGATGTTTGTATGAATTCGAAGATCAAAGATTAAGGCCTAATTGTGTTCGGCTCGCCGATTCCATTTTCTGCAATATAGGAATAAAGCCGCTCATAGATTCGCGGTGTGAATGCTTGCTGATAAACGTTTATAGTTGATCTAGAAAGAAAAGTTTAAAAAGAAAACAAAAACAAACAAACAAAAAAAAACCAAAAAACAAAAACAAAGCGGTTTTCTAAAACAAAAATAACCGGCGGTCGGATCCCAAATGAATATTCTTAATGTAAAAATATATAAATTTCTTTCCGAAAATGAAGATACAATTGCTTGCTGTTTTTCCTGTGAAAGGAATGATGCAAATAAATAATGAGTGACTGCAAGGAAAAATTTAGAGTTAAATAACACGAAAACAGTTATTTGGGAAAAAGAAAAAAAAATCATTCACTTTTGCTTAAAATATTGTGTGAGCGAAATTATAAGTTTATTTTTATTGTGTAGCTAAGGGGTTAGATGACGTGATATAGGTTTCAGACATTGATCAATGCATGGAGAAGCAATGATAAGTTTCAGGTGGTTATTGCCGACAGTGATGAAGAACTGTTCACGAAACCAATTACACATTAAAATTAGAATAATAAATATAAAAGATAAAAGAAACAGAAAAGTCAGCAATAATTTCTCTACTAAAATTATAAAAGGGAGAAATTAAGAAAAAAATAAAGAATCAAAACAGATATATTAAAAGAACAAGCGTACACTCCAGTAATTGTTTTTAGGAGCAACAATCAATCTATCTATCTATCTATCTATCTATCTATCTATCTATCTGTCTGTCTGTTTGTCTGTCTATATATATATATATATATATATATATATATATATATATATATATGTTTATCTGTCTGTGTCTGCTCAAATCAATCTCAATCTTTTCATCTTTGTGTCTATCTATCAGTCTGTTGATATCTAGCTATCTATCTATCTGTTTGTGTCTACTCATATCAATCTCTGTTTATCTATCTATCTATCTATCTATCTGTTTGTTCATATATATATATGTCAATTTCATATCTATCTATCTATCTATCTATCTATCTATCTATCTATCTATCTATCTGTTCATATGTATATGTCTATTTCATATCTATCTAACTATCTATCTATCTATCTATCTATCTATCTATCTATCTATCTGTTTGTTCATATGTATATATGCCCATTTCATATCTATCTATCTATCTGTTTGTTCATATGTATATATGTCCATTTCATATCTATCTATCTATCTATCTATCTATCTATCTATCTATCTATCTATCTATCTATTCTCTCAGCCTCTCTCTTTACCGCTGTCTATCACCTTTTCTCTCTTTATGTTCGTCTCACACTCTATTTTGTATTGAGCGGGTGCTTGTTTATTTCAAGCTCGTGTATGTTGTTAATGTGCGTACACAGAGAGGATTAATTTCCTGATCTTCAAGACAAGCATGTGTTTTCTCAAAAACAATCCCCCACCGGTTAGAAACCAGTAAATTGCTACCTTTTTAAATTGCACGAAGTTCATTAAATATAAATATCTATTTCAGTTGCTTCTATCTATCATTATTTGTTAATATGTTTATGTTAAAACAGAAATATTCGAGGCTCGGTTTAAGCTACAAATATGAAAATAAAACAACCTTCTATTTATATCTGTCTATGTCTCTGAGATGAGGTATTATGATTATTTACGTTACTCGGACTGGTATCCTCATCTTCATTGCATTATTCACAACGTTTCGACCAATATACGCTCTGGCCTTCTTCAAATGATTGGAATTTCGAACCGAATCCTTTACGTATATGCTAGGCCGAAAAAATCTCCTTATCCGACCAAGCATAAAAATGAATACAATATAGGAACCATCAATAAGGTGTCCTAGAGAAAAACAATAAATAACAACAAAAATTGCAATATAAACTCTGGTAAAATAATGGAATAATAATAACATATAAAATTGCAATATGAGCACTGGTAAAAAAATCGTTGCTGATACATTAGGCAGATAAGTCCTAAAAATTAATGCACATATGTCCTCAAGGACACATGTCCCAGTGGCTAATGACGTTTTTTAGATCCAGTGACTAGACAATACCAGGCCACAGTAGTGGTCAACCAAAACCTATTGAGTTGAGTTAACGGAAATAACTCAGACATCTGTAAGAACGGGGAGCTAGAACAATGTACTCCGGTGGACGAAATAAAAGTTTCGTGTCGAAATCCTATCACCTGAAGAAGGCCAAAACGTATAACAGCCGAAACAGTGTTAATATGGCAATGAAGATGAGGATAATAGCCCGAGTAATGTTGTATTTATGCATCGATATAAACGTATCGCTGTGAGAGAGCCTTATATTTACTGTCAGGTTTACATTTCGATCAATTACGCTAAATAATTAGTAACCTCTTAATCATTAAGTTAACAGATTAACTGCTAATCAACTGCTCTAAATAATCAGCTGTTTATTCATCACTTGGGGGAATAAGATCAAATTATTAATTTGCCGTGAATATCAGAACCGCTGACGCAGTTTTCAAAGTAGGTCAGATGAACATCTCTATTCCATCGTCAACATGTTTAAAGTTAGAAAGTTGTATTTAAATATTTCAGGAGAAAACGTTAATATATAGTTTACTTATATTTAACTTTTATTATTTGTACAATGGTGTTCACCCTGTACAAGATATGAGAGCCACACGTGGTATAGTGTTACCGAGGAAAAGACGTAGTTTATGCGAACTTAGATAAAGGTTAACCCTAGACTTGAATAAGATCACCGAAGTTAAGCAACATCTAACCTGGTCCGTACGCTTTCTTTACTAACTTTGATACTTAGTACAATGATCGCTTCCTGGGTATGACGATAAACTACATCCAACAGCAAGACCTCTGATCAGGAGTGTTTTGAGGAGCGTTGACCCACCTCTTAATTGCTGGTGCTCCCATGTCCAACCTGACCGTGGGTGGTAGAACCTCTTAGGGTCCCAGCTATGGGCAAATACTTAACCCTCAAAATGGGGTCAAAACATGTAAAAATAGATTCTAATACTAGCAATACATTTTCAAAGAAAAAATTATTACTAGCAATGATTCTTTGGAAAACATATTAACAGTAATATATTTTTGGGAAAAATATTAGCAGAAATAATCTTTGGAAAAAATATTACTTGCAATAAAATACTTATCGGCATTAAATAACCCATTGAGGTTGATATGCCGTAAAACAAACCAAACCAAATCGTACAATGATCTTCACACTGTACAAGACCTGTGAGCCACTCGTGGTAGATGGTTACAGAGTAAGTGGCAGATAAGTGGGGAAGATAACGATTAAAGGTAAACTTGAACAAATTGACTGAACTTAAGCAACGTCGAACCTTATCTGTAACTTGATGGGCAACCGCTTGGAAATACTACGTGCTGTAAGCTTGGATGTGCGGGTGGTGTAGTGGATTATGACTCGGAATTGTTAATCGAAGAGCCGAGTTCTAATTTCAGTTTTGTTCATCATATTCACTTAGGCATAAAATCCTTGGCAAAGGTATGGATCCGCCTCTTATCCCCCAGGGTATGTGATATTTTGTAAGACCTGTATCTCCAAAACATTATTATCTCCAAAAATTGAATTCTTACAATTTGAAATATTCCTGTCTTTAAATAACCTGCAAAACCGAAAAATAAAACGTATCAATCAGTCGATCAATCATGTGTCCTACCAGGGCCATATTTAGTTTTACCATAGTCAACTAGGGAATCCACTACCCAGTGATACTTAACCCATAGCATGGAAGGGAAATGATACTCCTATGAAGTTTATCAGTTAACCATTATCTCCTTAAAATTCTTACAATCTATAGATATTGTCTGGTTTTAAAAAACCCTGCAAATGGTTTATAAACCGTAGAAAACGAATCTATCTTCTTCTTGAGAGAGAGAGAGAGAGAGAGAGAGAGGGAGAGAGAGATAGAGGACAGAGATAGAGAGATAGAGAGAGATAGAGATACAGAGAGAGAGTGAGAGAGATAGACATACACACACACACACACACACAGAGAGAGAGAGAGAGAGAGAGAGATGTCACAAGTCTGTTACTTCGTACAATGATCACGTCCTGGGTATGACGATAAACTACATCCAGCAGCAAGGCCTCTGATCAGGAGTGTTGAGGAGTGTGGAACCACCTCTTAATTGCTGGTGTTCCCAGGTCCACCCTGACCCGGGATTGTAACACCTATTAGGGTCCCAGCTAAAGAAAGAGAGAGAGAGAGAGAGAGAGAGAGAGAGAGAGGACAGAGATTGAGCGATAGAGAGATAGAGAGAGATAGAGATACACAGAGAGAGTGAGAGAGAGATAGACATACACAGAGAGAGAGAGAGAGAGAGAGAGAGAGAGAGAGATGTCACAAGTCTGTTACTTCGTACAATGATCACGTCCTGGGTATGACGATAAACTACATCCAGCAGCAAGGCCTCTGATCAGAAGTGTTTTGAGGAGTGTGGAACCACCTCTTAATTGCTGGTGTTCCCAGGTCCACCCTGACCCGGGATTGTAGCACCTATTAGGGTCCCAGCTAAAGAAAGAGAGAGAGATAGAGAGAGAGAGATAGATAGAAGAGAGAGAGAGAGAGAGAGAGAGAGAGTGAGTCGGGAATAATTATAGTTCGGTAATAATTCCTAAAGAAAATGAGAACGAAAAATGAGACATGTCAGCGTAGAAAGATGAGATGCTATTGATAAAAATGTCCTTTATCTATCTACTATAATTCGTGTTTAGAAGAAAACGAATATTCTAATGCAATAAATATATGAATCAATAAATGATATAAAAATTAAAATCTGGATTTAAACCCTAATGAACAAATTTTGAACTACAGATTATAACCCTCATACTAAAATAGTTAAGCACCTGGATCCATCCTTTACGTTTACAAGAGACAGATAAGACCAAAAATAGAGTACTTTTTGTCATATTTGGGCGGAAACTCTTAGAACTCACTACCCAGCCTTGACAGTGCCCAAAAGCGTCTCCAAGCTCTTTCCGGTGTCGAATTATTCTCCATCCTTCAACCTCTCTCTATCAGCTCTATCACTATTTCCACGGAAAGCGTTCGGACGGATTACATTCTCTAGTCCCTCCGAGGCAAACCTTCTCAGTAAGACTACGCCATGACACGTATATAGTAGAAAAATCACCCACATTCCCTCCGTATTCCACTGGTGAGAAGTAAGTTCCACTCGAGCAGCTTTTTCTCGGGAACCACCGCTCTGTGGAACCGACACCCGACCAATAAAATGTTAACCTGATCAATAACCTCCACACATAACCCTCTACCTCGAGTTCCCCCGTAAAAGTAAAACTCGCTGTTAGAAAAAAAAGAAGTAAAATATGTATCGATAAAAGAATGATTATAGTTACTTATCCAACTAAAAGCTGATAAAATCGAACGCCGCAATTTGAAGTGGGTGATTTTGTTTTTTAAAAAAAAATCACCCAGTACAAGGTCCAAGAGCATCTCACGGCAGAGGTTTACTGAATAATTGATTCTTTTTTTTGCTGCGTATCAACTGCAGGTTACTGAAAGCCAAAACTGTTTTTAATATTATACTGGTTCTGTAAAACAAGTCTTACTAATTAACCCATAGCTGGGGAGAAGATGTGGATTCATAACTTCCCCAAGGGTATTTGTGCGTAAGTAAATATAACGAAGTGACTGAAACTGGAACGTCACTCCGATTAACAATTCCGAGTCGTTATCCATTAGTCCACCCGTACATCCTAACTGGCAGAACATGAAGATATGGAAGAGAAATAAGGGTGTGATACGAAAACTTGAAGAGGTTAATACTTTAGAGATCCAGGAAGTATGTTCCCTGTAGATTGTTTCACAAATTAGTGGTTCTTAGGAAGAAGCTCTCCGAAGGAAAATTTCTACTGGACCCTATATACATTGTATAAAGCATCTTAGTTTGAAAATTTCTGAATTGGTGTAGTTAAGGAATGTAGTTCATCAGAAAATTTGCCATGGGAAAAAAGAAACAGGGGAGTGGCAGGCTTGTGACGTCTTAACTGTGGGAGAAAAGAGTGGAAATCTGTTTATCGCCCTTAAAACCCCGTAGACGTTTTGAGCTCAAGAACGGAAATCGAGATCTGAGAACGTAAACCAGGTCTGATAGCAATACTCCATTTTTGTTCTTTTCTTATTTTTGTAAAGATAGATCTTGACAGGGTGGGTGGGGTTATCAGTTACTTTCAGGAGCGACACAAGGTAACGGCAATCTTCTCAGCATATTTAAAGAATGGTCATAGATCAAGTTCAACTTAAATTTGGGATAAAATGGAGCCCCCCCCCAAAAAAAATCTTCAAGGCAAGAAGCCTCATTGAGAGTACAACTGTTCATCATGCTGGAAAAAAAAATCATAGTTTTCCCAAAGATGATTAAAAGTTACTTGGTTACTTTTATTTAATGTCAGAAGCCAGTTTTTCTTCATTGAACTTCAAATCAGAGGAGTGATCATCTGTTAGACCCTGAGCGTCTAAATTATTGCACACATAATCTTTTCTATGATCTGTATCGATATTTATAAATGATCTGAGAATATACCTGAGAAGATCGTTAATATAAAGCAGAAATAGGTTACAACCAAAGAGAGAGAGAGAGAGAGAGAGAGAGAGACAGAGAGAGAGAGAGACAGAGACAGAGACAGAGACAGAGAGACAGACAGACTTTGGGTACGTTTGCATTGATCGCATTGGTTTCAGAATTCTAGCCATTAATCTAGCCATATCCGATAGGAAGGAATTGATAACTGCGAAAACTCTATCAAAGATTCTTGATTTTAGAGAGTTTCTGTAGCAACCGACTATTCCACACCTTGTCAAAAGAAATTGTTTATTTTTCTCTGCATATTCTTTTTTGATACCCCAAGTGAATCAAGGACTGACCCCTAGGGCTTCTCCTTTAAGTGAAATGAAAAAGATGCATCTTGAGTGGGAAGTGATATCCCCTGGATATATTTATTTCTCTCCTCAGTGCCCGAAATCCGCTAAGTGGTAAAAGAAATATTATTTGCTAACCTCAGCTTCGTTTTATTTTTTTTTTTGCATAGGCACGCCTCTGTGAGAGAGTATCAAACTTATTATTCAGTGTGTAAGGGTGAACAAAATTTATCACGTTAACCGTTACCCTACGCTGAGGTGTGTCTTGTAATTACTGATTTTTTTAAAAGTATGGTTCACTCTGTACAAGGCTTGGAATCCACCTGCGGTTACATTAAGGGGTGGTTTTACGAATAAGCAAGGAAAATAACGGTTAACCCGATACTTAAACACGGTAAGATTTTAGGGATCCGGGAAATATTATCTTGAAGCTGCGGTTCGCGGGAAGAAGCCATTCGACTGGAACTAACTTCTTACCGTTGGAATACGGAGAGAATGTGAGTGGTTTGCTAAAATATATGGGTCATGGCGGATCTTAGCCGTGAAGGTTAGACATGGCGGGACCAAGAAATGTAGTTCGTTCGAGCAATTTCTATGGTAGTAGCGAGAGAGCAGCGAGAGGCTTACCACATCCCGCTTGTGTGTGTGTGAGAGAGAGAGAGAGAGAGAGAGAGAGGTTGGCGTGTGGAAAATAATTCGTCAAGCGAAAGGACTTGGAGACACTTTTGAACTCTATTGAGACTAGAAAATGAGGCCTGGGCAGCTTCCGTCCAAATATGACAACAGTAGTCCAATTTTAGTCCCGACCTGGCTTTGTAAAAAGTAGCGGATACTATGAAGAGTCAGATATTTACTGAAGCGGTACAGGGAGCTGATCATTTTAGCGTATTGGCACATGGTCGCAAATATAGAGAACCTAATGATGAACTAGCCATATTCTTAATGATTTATGAAAGAAGCCTGTTAGCTATTGCAATTTAACAAGTCACCGCTAAAATTACTAAGCATAACATTTTATTGGCATATGGCCACAAACAAAGAACGCAGTGAAGAAGAACCTAACTATTCAGTAGTAATGATATTCCCAGCTGACTCGTTAAACATTACTCCATGCCGGGACGTCCATAGATGGAAATTAAATGCACAAAATATTAGCAATAAATGTTTAGTAAAAGGCGAAATTATATAAGAGAAAGAAGGAGTAGAACTTAATTTCGGAGAACGATTTTTAGGATTTCATCGTCCCTTATGGATTTAAATGTTGGACAATTTTATCACAGAAGAAGAAAACATTTTCGGTAACCGAAATATCGTTCTACAGAAAGATGCTGGGAATACCGTGAGCAAGGATAAAGATTTAAGCAAAATGGAGTCAAACGATACTTGTTTTAAACTCAGAGACAATCGTAATTCCTAGGACACATATGAAGAGACTCTCACAAAACCTTGAAAGCAAGTAAACTATTTAACGACTATGTATAAATTGATGGCAGAACAAGTTCTGGGAAGGATGAGAAGGCTGTGATCATTGCGTACAGTTACTGGATGATACGAAGTCATGACTGCCCACATTCAAAGTGGACATATGACCGAAGATTGTTAATATCTCAAAGTCGAATAATTGACTTATGCGCCATAAGTTTGCGTGAAAGGTAACGTATCATGAGGTAAAACTACATGGTATTTTTCAGTAATCACTAGATAAGGAAACACTATTTGTTATCTGGTTCGGCTGAGTATCTCATGTCGTGTTGGGCCGTCGTAACAGCAAAACTTGGTCAGCGATCGAACAAAATTGACCTGTGGCCAAGAACAAAATTATCTGTGGCCAAGAAAAATAGACACTTTAAATATATGTATACATTCATAATATATATATATATATATATATATATATATATATATATATATATTGTGTGTATTTAGGCAGCATATTTTCATTAATACACGTTTCATTAAATAATATAGACAAGTGTTGTCTTTTTATTTTATGTAAGTTTTTTCGTAACATCTGAGAAGTTTAATAACATTATCGTTGAACGAAGAAAAGAAATTCACAATATTGATCCATATTTTTTTAATATAATCTAAGCTTTCGGCTTACTTAAGCCATTATCAAAGATGTCAATTACAACATATTAAACAATATACGGATAGATAAATAAAAAAGACAACACTTGTCCATATTATTTAATTACAACACTTGTCTATATTATTTAATGAAACGTGTATTAATATATATATATATATATATATATATATATATATATATATATATACTGTTCGCAGACCCAAAAACAAAACAATAGAACAACAACACACCAATCAAGGGGAGATATCTGAAAAGTATATGATAACAAACAAGATGTGTCTGCCACACACAGGTGCGCTGCTGCATTAACCCTGGGTCCGTTCACAGGTTTCACATTGTCAGCAAGGATAAAACAGCCCAGAATACATCACTGCATTATGTCTATTGTCCAGCGAAGATAACACTCCCTTCAATATATATGCTATAAGTTATTCGAAATCGAAAAGGCCCTTCAACTGCGAGTAGTGTCTCTATATGAAAACCACTTTTATTTCAATGCAGCCTATACAGATTTATGCAGCAGACCCAAAATTGTCGCCACAATAGAAATGTCACTAGGAGATTGCTACCCTTTTCACCCTCGCTCGAGTTACGTTAGTCGAAAATAGCCGTGTGAGCAACGATGAGGTCCTAAGACTTTGCAAACAAAGAGGAGGCTTATAGTTAATATAAGACAGAGGCAGCTGATGTTTCTGCGACACATAATGAAGAAAGAAGGGCCTAGAGAATCCGATACCCACGGGTCGAATAGAGGGAAAGAGAGACGAGGGAAAACAACGCGTAACATACCTGGCGGACTTAAGCAAGTAGATGACAGAACGTGTTCTGGTGTAGAGAAGCAGATGGGAGGAAATTGTTGTGTGCTGTAAGGGATAGAGGGAGGTGGAGAGCCATGATCGTCTACGTCTTGAAAAGACATGGCACATAAAAAGAAAGAAAGGTAGCGGAGCAGTTGCTTGGATACACACACACACACAAACCCACATATACTTTGTAGTTTATATGTAAGATAATAATAGAAATCACTGCATCAACAGATTTTTTTACTTATATAAATAATTTTACCATTAATTAGATACGAAAAAGTTATATTATTTGCTTAGCTTTATTTTAACCATATCACCTGAAGCAAAGCACTAAAGCCGGCAAGACACACATGGACTACTGGCAATGAAAACTGAGATGAGATTGTGGCCGAAGAGGACATTAAAAGATCATGATTCAAAAAGATGACGATTGACGTTACTTTTAATTTTTAAAATTATAGTTGATTGGAAAGCATGAAGTGGGAGGAGAATCCCACAAACGAGAAGTGCGAGTGAAGAAACAGTTAGTATTGAATGTGCGATTAATTTCAACAGGAATATGATGAGATTTATCAACGAATCGTAAAGACGATATAGCAAAGAAGAAAGCTCATCAGAAAATTATTACGATGATTAGATTTATAGAATAGGCGCAATGGAAGCCACGTTAAGGCGGTGGAAAAATGAGTGTAGCCGAGATGCTTGGTCTTGACAGAATCTTTAGATACATATCAATATCACTGGAACAGATGTGATAGTAGGGTAGATCGATTTTTGGAAGCGTGATATTGCACTCAATTTGAAAGTTTCAGTTTTTTCGAGTTTCCCATAATAAATACTGACCCAAAATATTTTCTTCCAAAGCCTTATCGTTTTTTGAGGAACTCAGTTTGAAGGTGAAGTCAAGGTTCAAAATCGCAGGGTTGCAATTTCATTATTATTCAGTGAAATCTTTATAGTACAGCCTTATAAAATTTATAATTTTCTAAAGATGGACAAATTTGATATGCACACGATGCATGGCACAAGTAAATTATTACTAAATTATTGTGTCATCAAATAAGACCTCCATTTGACAGAACGGGAAATTATACTGAACCATTTAGCTATGTTATGATGTAATATATTCTGCAATGCAGTAGTTTTAGTGCGATTCAAATTTAAGATATTTTGACTTGTATTTTGTTTCTAGCATTATTATGGCGTTATATTTACTTTCATTTATATTTTATTACTAGCAGCATGACCCGGCATTGCCCGGGATTGATTCAAAAATCGTACGACTCATAATGCAATCGCTATCACTTGACTTAAAATATTTTTGCCCTTCCTTGCCTTTAAAGGAGTGCCCTTTGCCGTGCTGATGTTGCTACATGCCTTACTTCTTGCCTATCTCACACTGCGAATTTTTTCTAAGCTCTATATTAAACATTAAATCTGTTACGAAAATAGAACTAAACAAAATGAACACAAAACGTTCAGCTTTAAAAAAGGACTCGTAACTGGAAAAACCGAATGAAAAAAGAATGTTAATAACAAATAATTTTTCACGCGCAACCCAGTTCGGCGGAATCAGAGTTGAGTTTAAGCAAGCGAATGAGCCAATTGGAGTAAAGTGCCATACAGATTTAAATTTTCCCCACGTGTGACGAATGCAGCTATCGATTTTTTCTGCATGCTAGCATGCTAGTTAACATTCATGTCAGTCAGCTGTTGGCTCTCACGCTGGCCAGTAGAATCTTCCTGCCTATTCGTGACAGCCAGCTATAGGCTCTCACTCTAGCCAGTAGAAAATCGCCGCAAACTACATAAAAACTGCCGTAGAAGCATAAAAAATATCGATTATTTCCCCTGTCGATGGGAGTTGGGAAATGCAATGTCGGTCTTGGCCTTTTCGCTAACTTGGA